ACATTATAATATTTATCAATTCAATATATTTTTGAATAATTACTATGATTTATTATTATAATATTACATTATAATATTTATCAATTCAATATATTTTTGAATAATTACTATGATTTATTATTATAATATTACATTATAATATTTATCAATTCAATATATTTTTGAACAATTATGATGATTTATTACTACGTGAAATTCTTGCAAATGAAATTATTATCGAAATGAAATGAAGAAATGAAACAAGATAAAAAATTCTTGTAATGGAACAGTAACTACAAGTGTAATGAATGTTTAAATGAAATATGTTGCACCATTTAATATGCAATTTGTTTGAGTTTTTATGCTGCCTTTGTCAGTGAAATAAATTAAAATCGATCAGTTATACGTTTGTGCATATTTAATCACGAATCAAAATAAATATTAAAATTGAATAATGACGTGTTCAGCCAACAAATATTCGATTTCATTTTAATGAACATTGAATCAATTGTCTCTGATTAATTTAAATCACAGGGCGTGAAACGTGCTCCATTTAAAAGAAGAGACTCCCTCGGATTCCCTCGGAGTTTTATTTCTTTACTGACGCCGTTCTGATTTCTCCCCGTCCCGTTCAAAGTATCGCATAGCTTATGAATATTGAACATCGAAGTATCTTATGAATACGTATGAGAAGAACAATCGAACCAGTGTAAGTGCCGTTAAATTTTGAATATCGATAGGAAGTCTGAATATTCTTCGAGCAAGTGACGCGCGTTAACGGAAAATTATGTGTGAAATCATTTGCTTCGAGTATGGATTACGGCTTCTTTTCACGAATATACATATGTATAAAACTTTAACTACCAACCTAGCAATCTCACAAATTCCATAAAGTCAAAGTAGTTTATTATCAAATCTGAAAGTTAATATCCATCAATATTACATATAAATACATTATGTAATCTATAAAGTTAAAATGTATGATATTAAGTACTCTTTTTTTCAACACTTTATTGATCCACTATACAAAGCGTTCGTTCTAATTCGAGCATCCTAAATATCTCGTATATTTTTGGTGAAGGTAAAAAGTCATCGTAGAACAAAAGTGTTAGATTAAAAAGGAAAAATACATGTTTTTCTTAAATGGAACTGCAGGGTTCCGTCATCACGATATGACAGCTGAAGTCAAAACGAACCAAAAGGCCCATAATAATACGATCTTCACGTAATTTTTCGGTACAAACAATTCACAAAAGTTGGACAATTGGTGTGATATTATTGCTGATTATTGGGCCATTCTTTATCAATGGCATTTTAAATGGCCGAAGATTTGTATTTTTGATTTACTGAGCTACTTGGTTTAATAGAAGATGTTCCCACACTTAAAAGAAATAAAACACGGTACCAATATGATGGATGTCCGACTATAATGCATTAATAGCTCGTTAAGTATTAAATGGAATGCTTCTCCATCGCAAATGCAAATATTCGATGGCTTGAACTACTACTCGATTTGACACTCTTAGATTATTAACTCTGGAGCAAGATTAAATCAGTAGTTTACGATGATACTCCGACGACACCGGAAGATATGAAGGACCGTATTAGAGGTGCTTGTGCAAATGTCAGTGAGGATTTCCTGCGAAGAGCTACGAGATCCATTCGTCGTTTAGAACGTTATTATATATTATTATATAATATATAATATATATTATTTATATATATATTATTTAATATATAATATATATTATATATTATTTCGAACGTTTATTAAAATATATCTTTCCTAAGTATTTATTCAAAGCATTTATTTAAAACGATAAATGCTCTTGCGATAATATCTATAACAAAACCAATTTGTACAAACTTCGTCATTCTGTATATTTCAGAATTGAAAACCCATTAATTTTTGTATTAATATGTCCTTTGTAGAAATATGTCGAATTTCAACATTAACGAAAATAATGTCCACACGTCGGGTCCCTGAATAATTGTAATGATTAATTCGGTGAAACACGTTTTACACCGAACGGTGTAGAATGCGAAATTGACATTAATCCTTGAGGAGTAAAAAATTCTGTAATTGCGCTTCCCGCGACACCCCACTGGAAAACTAACCTTTGTTCACGTTTCCATTACTCGCTCGAAACTCGTTGCCGGTACAAATCACGTTTATTCAAACTTTCCACGGTGATTCGTGGGCTCGAAGCCCGAAAGGATCTAGTTATCATTCCGATGAAAATTCTATAGGCGTGTGGGTTCTGTGTGTACGAGCCACGGCTATAAGAATCAATTCATCGCTTGGTCGCGAACTCCAACTTATTATACGTGTTCGACGTGGAAGTCGATCGATTTA